TTTTCCTACCTAGCTGATTCTATGAAATCTCAAAAAGACTACTTTTGCATATTGGGTCCACCACATTTTTCTGTGAATAAAGGAGACTACTTACCTATCAAGAGATTCAGACACCATACCTATAAACTTTATAATGATGATTTCAAAGACAACTGAATTCCAATTTCAAAGAGAAATAAACTATGGAGTTCAAAGCCAGGAAATGTCAAAATCAGAAGTGTAAAAGGTTGAAAGAAAAGGTACAATCAGTAAGAATGAAAAACATTTGAGTTACTGTTATTTCCCCCCTACCTAAAGCTAATAATATGACAAAAAAGAGAACCTCTATAGCTGAAACGATGGAGGCGGGGGGAAAGTGTTTGTCTGTCCTCATCTGCAAATCACCTGAAGCCATCACCTAAGGAATTTCATCCCCAAATTCAGAGGAGAGGGAGAGGAGGGTTGAAGGGGGTAAAGGGGGAAGAAGAGGAAAGAAGGGTAAGAAATGGTAGTCAAATACTCTCCATTAAAACTAGATGAAAACTTTTATTCATAATTGCAGTAATTATCTTCTTGCACCCCCATATAGCAGAAAGCAGCTTTCCCCTTACACAGAAGGCCTCCCCCTGCCGATTTATATAACATCCAGCATTTGAAGACAAATTTAAGGTTTTTCTATAAGAAAAGAATTGTGACTGAAGAAAAATATTCAAATAAACCCATGACAGCAGCACCTCTCCAGAAACATTTGCCAAGCAGAGTTCTACTAGAAGTATGCTTACCTGCTCTAGTATTGCATTAGCACAAATACAGCTATTTTTCATAACCCAGATTTAGGGTTTTCAACTGTTGTTAATATTTAACAGATAACATAGAAGTGGTAACAGAATTCTGATCTGTAATCAAAGTTATAACATCAACCTTGAGCCATGATACTTTTGAACTATGTAACATTTACATCTATGTAAACTACCTATGCTTGAAAACAGCATTAAGTAGGTTTACAAGTCCTGCTCTCAACAGCAACACCAAGAGTGCAGGGCATTGCCTAATGGTAACACAAATAAAGACGTGTACACTTATAAAAAAAGAATCTTGAGCAGGAGTTTACTTTAAAAGCAGTACTAAGTCTGAACAGCTTTACTGCTCTGCCTATGCAATAAAGCGATTAGAGTTCAACCACAATCATGGACAGCTAGCAGAGAACATACCAACAGACAATTTAACACACAATACTCCTAAATCTTTGGTAGGATTTTCAGGTGTTACCAAATTAATAATGAAATGACAGTCAAAACCACATTATAGTAGTAAAATTAAAGAGAAAAAGACTAACCTCACATCCCTCTCAATTCCTTAGAACACCTAACGATTCAGCTTCTGAAGCCGTGGGCAGTATCTTGGGCTTAACAGTTCTATTTAGATTGGGTTGTTTTGTTTTTTTTTTTTGGGGGGGGGGGGGGGGAAGGCCGAGGATTTAATTAAAAAAAAAAAAAAAAAATCACACCCACCCCAGTAACAGTTACACGGGAAGAATAAATAAATTTAAAAAATAAATAAATAATAAAAGAATGAAACATTCTCCACATAGTGAATACTTCAACTACAAAGGTCTTTCTGATGTGCCACTTCCTTTAGCAAAATTACTCTAGACCTTCTGAATGGCTTGAGAATGATCTAGCATTAGGAAAGAAAGAGGATTAACACTTCTGTTATGTGCATTCTTCTCCATAGATGATTTTTAGCATGAATTTAGCTTAACTGAGTTTTAACGGATATATGTCTTGCCCCTGTAAGAGACTTAGAACTGGAGAACTACTTTGATGATGGACCACCAGGTACCGAAGGCAGAGCAGGTAGCTCAGAAGAGAGGAAATGATGGTTTGGAAAATATGGAGATTAACCATAGCAATGGGAACCACGAGATGTCAAAAACTATACAGAAGCCACAACGTAAGATTTTGATTGAAGACAATCCACTATTTCAAACATCTCCCCAGTTATCAGCTGCAAGAGGTATATGTTCTGAAACATCAAAGAACAGTATGAAAGTATACATTCTCTGTTCCCAAAATCTCGTAAGGTGTAACTCAGCAATCAAAAAACCAGAGGACACAGAAGCACACTTCCTGGAGGAGAACACAGATAATATCTAAAAAGAAGTGTTATTTGATGAACGAGCCATTTTGTTTACTTTTTTTTTTAAGCACCTACAATCTTGCCTTACCTACAGAAGAGGCACAGGAAGCATATTCAACTGTTCCTAAGTATTCTATTATTAATTCTGGATCTTCTGTTCTTTATTAAATCCAAAATACACATGGGTTTATACAAAAAAAGTATATTAGAGGGCACAGGGAGAACCTCAACCTGGGTACAAGGTTTTAACGTTTAGTTAATACACATTCATCTCATTCTCTTGAATTAGTACGAATGGGTGCAAACCTACACCCACTCTTATCCAAGCATCTACAAATATTTTAAAGCCTAATAAACATAACACAGATGCTCTTTTTCAAATCTTAGTCAGAAAAGAGAAATATCTTTCAATCTCTTAGCAAAGATTACCATATTCACTGGAAATTCCTATCCATCTGAAGTACATTTACAGAATTTCATACAGCATTTACAGACAATAAAATGAAATGCCTTCAACCTGAAGACCACTTCCACATCCCCCACATAGAAAAACAAACACAACATTTTCACCTATTTAAAAAACACCACTATTAATTGGCCATGTAAACTGCAAAAAATAGTTCCATATACAAATAAAATTAACAAATACAAAAAACCAAAACCCCCACTCCCCAACACACACAGAGTAGCTGGAGACTGCATACTGGAGAAAGACAAACAAGACATCTTTACACCTGACTTCTAGGATTTCTTCAACCATTACCAATACTCTTAATTATACAGCCTGGGCAGACTTTTTTCAGACTAAAGACTGGAAAAGAAACTTCTCTTCCAACAATGATATTAGAATCAATTGATCAGGTATGATTTTAAACCAAAACAAGTCACAGTTAAAAGAAGAAACACTGCTGTACTGCATGCTAAAAGCTTACATAATCTTGTCATTACGAACATAAAACAAAAACTTACTGTTTAATTTATTTATTTTTAGACCTATACCAGGACTGCAGATACTCTAAAATTTTAGGCAAGTAGAAAATAGTTTAGTAATTGTTAAATACCAGAACACTTAATGTGTACTACTGGAATAACCACCAAAACAATGTCATTAACATGAAAAGCAGCCTGAATTACAGACAGTTTCCTGTTCATTTAGCAAAGATTAATTCCTTCTTCACAAGCAAGAGAAACATTTGTTTTACCTCACCGAGAACAACACAAGGGAAAAAAAAAAACAAAACCCAAGAAAAACAAACAAACAAACAAAACCCCCAAAAAAGGCCTTTGTTGCTTAACCGTTCTGTTTAATAAGTAGGATAGGTAATGACAACAAGATCACTATTCTGTGCTCTAGGCAAAAGGATCTTAATAGGAGGACCTGGAAGAGACAGACAGACATTTAAAGCAGATGGCACCAAGTCTTTCAGAAACTGCCAGTGGGTTGGGGGTGGGGGGGAAGGTTTCCCTAC